AGTTCTAAAACCGGCTCTCTTGAAACGGGGACCCTTGGAAAAGCTCGGAGTCGTTTGAGGGAGTCTGGAAAGTGGGCTTTTAGAGTTTTGCGCTGCTAAAGTAAATATGATTTGATGTAAAAGAAAAAAAAGCGAATAAGAAAACTAAATGCTCTTTCAAAGAAAAGTAGGAAAAATGCCTCAACGTAAAACGACTGCCAGGAAGAACAGAGTAGGAAAAAGAGATTGAAAAATTTTGTTCCAATGGAACGCAACTTTTCTAGCGAACTAATAATGCGGACAATTTTCCATTTACTGACAAATCAGGAACTATTCAAGAGGAAGCGGATCGGTTCAGATCAAAATAACGTAACTGAAACTGCTTTCTAATGGCACAATAAGTACTCATCAAATCAGCTGGAATCCATTCAAGTGCTGGATTTATGTATTTTTTTTGTATTTTTTCGTTTTGTAGTTTAGACTTAGTGACACACCAGGAAATAGAAATTCGCTAAAATAGTCTCGATGTCAGGTAAACATATACACAGGCAGCCGTGGAAATGGGGTCAAAACATTTTTATTACGAATTTCCTACGATTCCTTTTTCCTAAAACGTGCCCTTTTTTTGCTGTTGTTCAACGAACGTGGTGTTATGATGCCCTATTAACTTAATAGTATCCAGATCAATTTAAACCTCGCAACTCGAGCACGGATTGCCTGCCGCAAGTTGTGTTTTAAATAAGAGCTCTTAATCTAATTCCACTGAGTACTGTTTGTTTATAAAAAATTGTTGTTTTTCTTGGCTGCCCTGGAAAGCCAAGGTTAATGATCCTTAAACCATGGCTAAAATTAGGCCATAGTAACAATGTGGTTTGTTACTGCGGCTAGACTATGGCGGTCCCCCAACTCATGATATATCACCAGCAAAGTTGTCTATACTACCTTAAGTTTATAATTTTAATATATCAACTGAGTTATGATATTAATGATGTACGGGAAGGCAAAAAAGTGTACCTTCTACCATCAGTTCTTAAAGGAATTGAATGCAGTCAATCTTACCCATACATCCTGTTTGTAGGATAAAGCAGTACCTATTACTCCCTCTAGTCTTACATTGGCAGCACTTGTTTCCGCCTGAGAGTTCTAAGGTAAAGGGGATCATAAAACAACGGCTATTTTGGGGAATAGAACTTGGAATACAGCTGTCGCGTGTCGTCTGATAATCTTATTCATTTACGATGGCTACTGTTCAGTTTATCTAATTAAACCCGAATAGAAATTTTTTTTTTCACACAAGCCTTGCCTGAAGCTAAATAACTCGGTCTTAGTTGGCCATGGGGACTGACATTCGCAAGTATGACCGCGAATTGAGATTACTTCTGTGCGTTCATGAACAGTCAATCAAGAATTACATCTCAGGAAAGGTATTTTGTTCTCCAAAAAAAAAAAAAACAAGGAAAATTAAATGAATAAAAATTAATGCACGCCAAGTAACCCTGAAAATATTACAAGGAATTTGAGAACTAAAAAAATTTCCTGCGGCTCAAAAATTTCCTACGCCCCCCCCCCACCCCGTAACTTTTCTAATGGTCGGTCCCTTATGGTCATTACTTAGATACATGCGGCAGTAATGTATGTAGGGGTGGACAAGTTTGCACTGCCTAAGGACGTGGTCAAAAGATCTTTATTTGAGTTGAGTTATGGGTACGTTAATCTCAGTGCATAAAGCCTACTTGGAGGAGATTACTAGCCTACAACACTCTTCATTGAGAGTGGAGGACGTAGCGCCCGATGCCTGTGGTTTGGTTTGTACGTTTCAGTGACTGAGAGGACTTCAATGAGTACTATAGTTCCTGACTGCCAGTAAGCCGGCTGCCATCGCAGCAGTCTCCCTACGAGTCTACGATCTGGCAGCGCTTGCAAGGTCGCTGACATGGCGTTGGAAAACCCAATTGACAAAATTTATACAAAAGAAATGCTTCATTTAAATGTTCACCATTCCAGCTGACTATATATTTCAGATCATTTGACTAAATACAAAACTGTAACTTAAAGAAACTCGATGATTATGGAGGAAGAATTATCTGTCCCTTTTATTGTGGTTCAGTCTTTCAAGAGTCTCTAAGAGATCTTGTTTCCTTTGGCAATTACAGCGACCCGAGCCTCTCTTAAGCATTGGAACATTTACAAAGCTTTCTCCATTTTTCTAGTGAAAAACTAGAACGACAACTAGACTCCACTAAAAGAAAACTTTCCCGTCCTAGTGAGTGACAACAAAGTTTTCCGTGCAATCGAGGAAATGAAAAAAACAACAAACGTCACCGAGGCGTGTCCATGAAAAACGAACTAAAAAATTCTCATCATAAATTTGAAGCTATGGAAACCTTTATCACTGGTTTTTTGATTTCTGTATAAATTGTAAAAATGTTACCGCAAACAAACTCAGGACTATCGCAGTTTTTAACAAAAACAACACTGAGGAGTATGTTATACTTTGCACGCGCGCATAAAAGCGGAAGAGTTAGTTTTAAAAACATTCTGTTCCCTAGTCGTGACAGTTTTCCACCGTCACTCTCTACGTAATTTGTGTCCTGAATTTGTTGTCTCATTGCCGGCTTTGTTTGAGACCTTGTGACAATTTCAAGGGAGCCACAATAATCTCGAGAATTTCCTTGAATAGCGCCATTGATTCGCGCTCTCAGCGATTTTCTATTAATAACCATTTGTAAGGCAAGTTGCAACAGTCTCGCTGTCTCCAGTCAAAACAAAAACCTGACTTTAACTTGGCAAACATTTCTCTGAATTACATGGAAAGATATGTTTGTTTTACGCTCTACCTAACTTGTTTATCACAAGGAGAAATTAACTTATCTGATATACTGTAAGCTTGCATTGTTGACGTAAATATTTAGTTGTGAAATAAGTTTTCCTAAAAGTCCATTATTTTTTTTTCTACGGGAATTTACCTTCGACAATTTTATTGTTACTTATTCTTATTGGATTTTTTAGGCATCAAGAACCGATACTAATTTCAGGAAGTTTGATCTACAGAGACAGAGGAGATTGAGGCTCTTTCCCTACAATTCTTATCCCCACCTCTCCTTATTGCCATCATCTTGCACATTCGCAACCACATTTCAACTGTTTTTCTCGGTAAAATACTGGTAGAATATTTCGTTATTAGCATACTCCACTCACTAAATAAACAAACACTTCAACGACTTGCGACCCCAGTGCGACCAGCAATGTCACGCATGGCTGGTATTTTGTCATAATGCACGGTGACTACCAATATTGCACGATTAAGAACTTACGAATTCTTATCACTCGCCCATCTAAATTTAAATCGCTAATGACCAAAGCCACTCTTAAACAATTCCGGGAGTTATTACAAAATTAAGAGATGTTCAACATCGTAAAACAAAAATTCGTTTAAATTCCAAATGACGAAAACTTCCAATATTGCAATGAACAAAGTTTACGAGCAATTATGCAATATATGAATTTACCCTGGAAATAAAAGTTTTAGCGCGTTATTTCTTTCCTTCATGCTAATGTGCTTTACAGACACATTTCTGGAATTTCTTGACCTTGTGAAAAACTTGTCTTTTTTTTTTCAGCCTTGAGCTAAGTCAGATACCTCAAAAATTCCTCCAGATATAATGACAAATCATGGAAGCGTTTCGCTTCAGTTATAATTCACATTAAAACTCCAAGGAATATTTAATTTCTAGCTGAAACTAAAGCATTCTCGAATACACGGTTCAATAAGCTGTATCGTAGTATAAAACTGCGGATAAAGCCTCGAGGAATAAGTTTCCAAACGTTTCTGTGTCTCCTTCAAAACATATTTCAACCGACCATAAAATTATAGTTTAGCTTTACTGAATTTAACTCGGGGAAAAACCCTCCCACACAAGCTTATGGTGAGTTTTGCGTGGTTTAGTTCTAAAATAACTTTACATGAGAAGAAAAAGAAACTTTCATGCCAGAGCTACAAGTTAGCTTCTCCCTCTTTTTCCACGGTTTAATCCCTTGTTTTTCTACATTTACAATTCCAGAAATTGCAAAATCGTTGTTGTTTGTCTTGGCGCAATAAAGTTTGCATAATCATTGAATGTTTGCCGTTGAAAGAAATGGTTGTATTGGGAACGTATAAAATTATTTAGAGTTTTTAGTTTTTACTAGTCACCGATAAAGTAAGGATAATTTGTAATAAGGCAAAATTAAAAGAAAGGGAAGTCAAAGAAGCGGACATGTCTTTTTTTCAACACAAGTGTAGTTTTTCGTGCCTGATCATGCCTGAGGCAGTATTTAACTCTTTTAAGAGACCATAGGTACTACAACTTACACTTTAAAAGGTCAACTGACCTAATTTGTAAATAATTGTTTTAACGGCGACACGATGGCTTCCTGCTACAAGTTGGATAAAAAAGATCGATTACAACATTTCCACATTAGTGCGTCAACACAAGAGTAAAAGTGGACCGGAAAATTTACTAAGACCTCTTCAAGTCCAAAAATTAACAAAAAATCTAAGGTTATTGAACATTTACGTGAAAGTCCTTTGTTTTTCCTGCATTGCTCACGGGAGTAAAACGTATGGTATGGGGAGGAGGTTAGCCACATATCATTCCACCCACTACCTGACTTTCCGTAAGCAAGGGTTAAAAAAAATAGACACCTTTGCGTTAAAAAGGCGTAGGGTCACTATTTTCATCTGCCAATCAAGCCCCCAGTTGTTCTCTATTTACGTGATTTACTTTAGTTCCCTTCCGGGTTGCATTTTACTTTGCCCTCGGCAAACATCCTCGGGGATTGTTCGGGCGGAATTTCGGCACGCCTTTTGGCCCTTAACGACGTCTGTCACAGAAATATAGGAGCCCATCAGGAGGTCAACACTGGAGTATTTAAGTGGGCTGTAAATGAGATGATATAATCAGAACACACTCACTGCGGGAACAATACACTACCTGAATTCGTTCCAGCGTTTACAAAGAACTACAGCGCAAAATTTTACAATGGCGAAGAAAATGTTTATGTGTTGGATTATTTATCTTATATATTTATCATCGTAAGTATATTTATCGCGTTTTTCTCTTTTTCTTACAAACACTGAACGGAGGTTGTGAACCGGGTTTGGAAACCCTAAAGTTGGAAAAGTTACATCGACACTGTTTTCATTTTATTCACAGATGTCTGGCTTTACCTATGAAAGAAATTTCTTCATTTTCTGGAGTAAGTACTTGTTATGTTTTGTGGCTTTCAATTCACAATTTTTTACGATCGACTGTATACCGAACAGGTTCTTCAAATTAAAACAGCGGCCACAAGTTGGACATACCTCACTTAAACACGAATTAGCTTAACGTCAAATTATTCACGCATTCATTTTAGCACGTTTACAGAATGTTTTTTAAATGGACTCGAAATTTCATCTATTTTTAATTTAATTGGCAAGACCCGAGTAAACTGCCATTCAAGTCGATTTGCCTCAAAGAATTTAGGATATTTGACCAATATCGTGAAGTTGTCTATTATGCAAAATGAACTTATCTGCCTCGCATGGGAACCACTTCAAAAACACGTCACCTTTAACTCGCAGCACGGGAAGTGACAATTTTGTTGTTGAGGAATTCAGTAATTCAAATTGATCTGGATTAAGACCGAGCGACAGGGGGTCAACAATAATCACTACACAATGGCTATTTTATGGATAGGCAGTAAAGGACTACCTGGTGAATGGCTGGGAAAACACTTGTTTTTCTTGGCAATTCACAACAGCATTGTCACGCTTGTCAGAGCTAATCGCAACAAGATGCTCGCTCGCGCGCCCCTTTTCAACACCCACGCTGACCGTGGAACAAACACGCGCGCGAACCTCGTAGCTCCTGCAGCGATCGATATGTACTTTGACGCCTTTGTCTGCTTGTGAAGGCGGTAATTACTAAACGCCGAGAAAACGAACTGATATGTCCGGCTCACATTGTCCGCCAGTTTTACCGAAACCACAGCAAAGAACGAAACTGGGCCGCAAAGCTGAGTGACATTTCGGTAGACTAGCGGCAGTATCTTCATATTAACGACTGTTTGCACTTCTTCGTTTGTTTAGGACACCCAAGCGTTAGAGAACAGTGGAATCAACCCCAAGCACGTAGTAAATAATCGCATGGGCGTGTGGAGGTACAAACGAGTGTACTCGAGAAACAGTCGCAAGTTCCTTCGAATGTACAATGGAACTATAGACGGCTTGGGAGACCAACATGATCCAAATGGTGAGTAAGCTAGTTAGAAACGCTGCACGCGGTGATCTAACTGGGACCGGACCCTTCAGATGTGCGAATTATACGATTGTTAATTCATGGTGACGGGAGAAAGCGGAATGCCATATTCTTTTATTTACATCGGCTTCTCAAAAATTACCAGTCTAGTTTACACAGATTTGACAAGCGCGCGCGGCAGCGGGTGCCGAGCGGTAATTTCAGAGAAGCACACGTCGGTCAAACAAGCCTAGTAAACTGTCTGTGTAAATTCCGCGGTGATTTCAAAGTTCAAGATCTATAATATGAAACTGCCGATGTACGTTTCTGTTTGCCGGCGATCTGTAAGATCATTGCTTAAATTACTAGGTTCCAAGCTGTGGGTTTTACCGCCAGAGGAAAACATTAATTTCACTGAAGTACTTACAAGTGTAACATGATTGTGATGGTTTACTTAATCGCGTGTCAGTAAGGCACATGTAGTGGAATTTGCACGCTTGGCCAGAGAAGGCCAATAAAGCCGGTTGTGTACAGTGACTTTTTCAAATTACGGAAAAGGTGCGGAACGAGATCATTCCCTTTCTCCGTGCTACTGCCTAGCTGTTGGAACACTGAGCTCCACGCGTGTACTAGTTCAAGAGCATACTAGCGTGACAGCTATAGTGATCCAGCTTGATTTGCTATGCCTACTTATGTGACGATATTATCATTTGTTTTGTAGTCAAGATCATGATGGAATCAGTAGGAACTCAAATTATATTGAAGTCATACGACGGAAGTGTATGTATCTGCGTCGATGACCACGGAGTGGTGATAGCTCGGGTAAGTGATTTTCATCAAACTACCACTGTAGCATTCGACCTCAGCTCACCCTCGTCAATTACCTATGCTCAGCCATCGCCTCCTGGGTCTAGCTAGAGGAACATGCTTTCAGACACAATTGTATTAGCAGTCTAGCTCCCTGGTATTAATGGGTTGTTTAGTTTTCTAGTGCCGCCTCAATATATCGAGCAGTCTGTTGACGAGCGATCGTCACTCTTTTCTAAAAGAAATCCAGCGGCTGTCTTTGTTGCATATACATTTTTACAACTTTGCAAATTGAGTATCGAGAGACATAACAAGATAATTGGATACATGTGACCGCAAAATCGTCCAGATACATATATCTCATCGTAGTGGTCGAGGTTTATACTCTATAATTGACATTTAATTACGCCCCCTGAGGCGCGATTCAGTGGGGTTAGCGAATTTGGCACCGTTGTATTTTGTGGCTTGGCTCTGTTTTAAAAGTTTCGTGAGCCTCATATGCTGTAACAAAAATTGGGGAAAAACAATGAACAATAGCATGCGAAAAGAGGGAGTTGAATAGGGACTTTTCACGGTAAATTTCGTAACCGCAAACATTTGGTCGTAATCATCATTGTTCGTGATGTACTTACTTATATAGATCGCTGATTCAATCTTGAAATAAATTTCATTTCATGATATCAATAAGCTACTAGCTGCAATCTTTGCAACAATCCTGTAACTAAGCTGCTGACAGTTTACAACCGAACGAAACTTCTCTGTCATGTTGCGGATATGCGTACCTGAATTTGTGGTACGTTACTCTGCCACGGATGTGCGCAAAACTCTCGCAGAGTTATGTTTTCTTTAGGAAGACCATCTAACACGCTAAAACATAATCTAAAAAATGTCTTTCAACCAAAGCTCGAACCGCAGACAGGCGGAATATGTTTTATTACTGAAAAAATAGAATATATCAGTGGGTAATGATAGCCGGATAGCTTACAAAATTTCTCTACTGACCGACGGACAGATTTATCTAAAATCATAGCTTTTTTTTTTCTGAAATAAACTAAAAAGTCGTAACAGATGGAAAAATACTTTAAGCTGGGATCCCTAGGCCGTTCACCAAAATTACTCCAGCGGATGCGTAGGCATGGAAAACGTGACGAACTAATTTTGTAGCGGAACTGAGACTATACAGTTCCCCACCCATCCCAGTTCTACCCTCAACACAACTGTCATCATTCAATTTCTTACTCAGTAAATGTTCAAGAAAGTTCCACGTCGCAAAAATGGACTGACAGTGCTCTGGATGTTTTTGAAAGTTCGCAACTCAGTGTAGCTCGAGGACCACCGAGTGTAGCATGATTTTACATCGAACCACAGGAAATATGCTACTTAGTGAAATGCTATTATTTTTTATAATGGTCACAATTTAAGATTTCTTTTACAGACACAGACCGCGGCTATAATCGTCTAAAGAGCTAATACAAGATTATATGACAGTCTGTAAAAGACACCACCAAGCTAGAAAATTACTCTGTAAAATCATCGGTAAATGTGAGCTCTACCAAATGAATAGGCACTTTTTATATGAGCATACCCATGCATCAATTCACTGTATATCAATGTATATCATCGTACCTTCAAACAATAAAACTTTTCCGAAGTGAGCCTAGTGTTTGCAAACTGAAAATATTATGTAGAACCCTTGGCGGGTGATCGTCTTACCGATAAAATATCGCTTTTTGGTCATTTTTGAAATTAAGTCAAGTAAAGTCGTCTGTCCCAGTACTTATCACTAGCTAAAACTGATATAACCGACATGTCAATATAGTTAAGGGAATATTCTCTTGGTGGCCGCCTTGGCAGTAATAGTATGGCAATTGACCATGATTATTTATTATTTTTTTACTGACTTGCAAAACTAGACAGCCCACGATTCTCTCGGAAATTTCAAAAAGCAGAGAAATCACCACCCAACTTGATGTAATGCGTCGCGCCAGTTGAAATCGAATATAGGTTGTCCTTCTAATACTCACAGTTACTCGGCAGCAATTTTCCCACGATAATAATATCCGGACTTAACAGTCCCTAGTTATATCTGAGTTACAGTAAGATAAGAACACTTGGGATTTCACTGATTTTAACCAGCTCTTATTTTGATCTTACAGCCATCACAGCAAGCCAGGAATGACTCAGCCTGTCAGTTTTATCATAACGTGTCTCCTAAGGGCTATACGACCTTTCGGTCTTTTTTCAATCCCAGCTGGTATTTGGGGATCACCAGTCATGGACAGACCAAGTCAGCAAAAAAGACCCGAAAACATCAAAGAGCTGCACATTTTTTATGAAGTGACACTTGTCATCTCTAGGTTGCTTTTTTCAAATTTAGATATTTTTCTAAATTATTTATTATAAAGAGAATATTTATTGTGTAGAAAAGACGTTGTACAGGTGCTAATATTATTTAATATTTATTGTGGTAGACTTACATGATCACCACGAAGAGACGAAGAAAAAAGAGCTAATATATGTCAAACTAAAGTTTATAGAAATTTATATTGAACATGGAAAGATAACAAAGTCTATTTAGTACATCTAATTCTATGGAGTATTCGACATTCGAAAAAAGTACGTTTCTTTAGTAAAAAGAGATTGTCTATTTTAATATTTATCGTTTTAAAGAATAAGTAAATTTTATTTAAAATTTTCAGCTACGTGTATATGTTCTGATAATATTAATTTAATTATTTTTTATCGTTTTTGTTTTGTTTTCTCAATTAGTTCAAACACGAATCCAGTTCTTTACAGAAAATTACATGACTCTCTTTGTGTCAGCCTAAGCTAAATTATGAAATTCTACAGTTGCAATAATACAAAGATGAAAGGGTTGTTACTGAAGACAGTCATAAGAATCTGCAATACGTTTTCTTGGTAGAAATCGAGCGAGAATTCACTAGATATTTCACGTCTAATGTTGTAATTGTGGACAAAACTCGTCAAAAGCCGTCCATTTTGTGTTGTGTGACCTCAATGCAACTGATTTTAGAACAACATCGACGTTCCAAGTTGTATTTATTGAAATTATTTATGAACTGCCCCTCGAAAACTGAAAAACTTATTTAATTATTTATTTATCTATTTATTCATGAAGCTTTTCAATATAGTCCTATTTAACGAATATGAAAGAGTAATATTTTATCCAATTATTTATTTTAAGAAAATAGAATTCTAAAACATCAGCCAAGCACACAAGGATAATGATATTTTCTAAATTATACAACTTTAATGTACAACTTAATATGGAGAATCTCGAAGCTCTGCATATGAATTTGGTCTTTAAAGGACTGTATATATTCCTATTAATTTTAACATTTGCGAGCTTTTTAGACTTAGACTCACCAATATGACATCTTATTTAATATGATGACATGTTATAGTATCTTAATAAACAAAGAGCATTTAGAAGTTGACTTGTCTTTTTGGTTTTATTAGCATAGTATAAGTGACATAATAAAACGGGAGCTAGACGTCTCTTGTGTTCTTCCTACTTACCAAAACGGGAAAGCATCCTGCGAATAGACAAGGACATCAAAAGTAAACAGGTAGAGGGAAAAAAGCCCATTTATTAGAGGGTGGGGCACACTGCACAAGATCATAGCCGGTTTGTAATACGGATTTTAGCCCCTCTACTGGAAAACTATTCATTCAGAGAATAACAAGATGCCTCTATTTTAATTTTTCTCGAATCTTTCTCATTTCAACGCAATTACTACTTGTTAATCAAAACCGAAGAGGCTCACCTGGCCAGCATACTCAAATAATGCGTACCACATCATAAACAAAATACGTCCAGCGTCAAAGTGACAAAATTACTTTAAATGAATCCAAATGGTTGCTGATTGACTATCATTATGCACAAGATATGTATTCTATGTTAATGTTTACGATTTTCAGATTTTTAATGGTTTTCAACCTCGACCGATCCTGGACTTGCTAACAAGTAAATTTAGCACAATTAAGATCAGCTCGGGTACCAAACGAACTAAACGAGATGAATATTATAATTTTTATATCAGAAACTGGGATACATTCTCTATGGTATAAAGGACCGTCCATATTTTAAATTTTGTAAATAGTAAAGACAAGCGAGCTTCAGCTTTGATTCACTCAAATTCGTCTTGAGAAAATTTTCATCTGATAGTAATGAATTCTTTTTTAATAAAGAAGCTTTAATTGCTTTTCAATTTTTACTAGTATTTGTTATGGATTATATACTTTTAGATCACAGTACGTCTTGATAAATATTCATCCTTCATCCAATAAAAAAGTGCTTGAAAATCCAATTTTATCAGTATATATCTAGTGGATAGAAATTTGTCCAGTCGACAGCGATGTGTCATGGAACTAAGTAAACAGGATTTGCAAACAGAAGACTGAAGACTTATTTCGGGTATGTTGGGATGAAGCTGCCAACGTTCAGTCAAGGGAACACAATAACTTTTTTTTAAGAATCGACAAGTTAAGTGACCATACATCGTAAAGGTATTTAAAAGCTGGCGTATCTCAAGGTTTGGAGAGCTATCCCTTTTTTATGACGTGCTGGTCGCGATGCGAAATGTTTGACAGAGTGTGCATCAAAACCAAGAAAACTGGTATGTCTGATGTTCAAAAGGTAGCTGTATCGGGAAAGCAAACCTCTTTTGTTGTGATGGGGACTTTCAAAGTTCGAGCGGCCTTCTAACAAACTAAGCACAAAAACATACCCGATCGAGACATAAAAGACAGTAGAGGAGATAATTTCATTTTTTGTTCAAAAATACGCCAGATGTACCTTTCATACAAACGACTCGTTTCCGGATATTAAAACCAATTTAATGCACGAAAACAAATGAGTTTCTACAAAAGGAAAAGGAAATACGTATTAAAAGAATAATTATTTTCAAAATGATCATCGGAAACTATCAAAATTTAATGCTATTAAATGATTGTTTTTTTCTATCCAAAGTAAGGACGTTAGTTATCCTAGATACCTGCTCCCAATTTGGCCTGTCCAGTTTCACGTCAATAATAAACTTAAGATTTACCTCACGCCATGTAATTTGTCATTATAATTTGTCAGTTTTTTTATTTGTTAAAAGGATAAAGAAATCGAGAATGTCGAAAATATATGGGTTTTTTTGTCTTGAAGTGCACAAAATTAATGTCTTAAAAGGTCTTAACAGTCTACATAAATAAAGCTTAGCCGTCTAGCTTTCCTGAGAATTCTATGCCGCACACAGATTAAGCATTTGAATTTCCTACTTGTGAACACTAGAAAAAGTATCAAATAAAAGCTTTTGAATTCCAAATTTTCGTCATACATTAACTGAAGGGAGTTCAAAATAAACATCATGACCATTCGCTTCGGTTTCCTCCTCTTTGCACTCAAACGGCTTAGGCTAAGGGTGCCTAATGTTTAATTTTCAAATATACTATTCCCTGCGTGATATTTCCAGACACTTCTGAAGACCTTTATCTAATCTTTATAACGTATAATTCCTTTCTGCACAAATAAACACACACGTTCCATTTGATATTAAGTATAATCAACTTGTAAAGGCCTACTGTGATGTCAAATATTTTCTCTGCCGGACAGATTTGTGGTCAGTTAGCCTTTACTCAGATGAATCTCTATCTTTAGTTGGTGTTGTTGTTGATTTTGCAGTATTTGCTAGTTTGCGCGACTGTTAAAGCCGCCTCTCAAAGAAAGAGTTTAGTTCAGCAGAAGTCACAAGGCAGGAAGCGATTATCCAGGCAGTCACCGTCTATTTTTTAGCAACCAGGCAGTTACGAAACTCTCGGCGGATCAACCTTTTTTAAGCGATCAATTGTCTTTTCCAAGGTTTTAACTTTAGTTGACAGTCTATCCCCGCCAGTCCGTTAGAAACGCATGTAGAAACGGATAAGAATCAATGGGAGCGACTAATTTGCATAAGAAGCACGCCCTCGGCTTTAGCCCCTCTAGCAGACATAAGGGTGCACTGAATATTCCCCGGGGGTTCCAATGACCTAGACGGGTGTTTCCGCCGGAGAGGGTAGGGATTTTCCTTCATTTCTTGTCATGGTGTCGAATTAGGTCAATGAGGCATTCAGTTGTTTTGGAAATAAAATTCTACCCGTTGTATTGTAAACTGGCGATGCATTCTATGATTTGACGTTACTGAACCCATGCGTCTCTCGTCCGGGGTGTAGCCTGTCGTCTCGTGTGAGATATCAGACAGTGCTACTTTCCCAAAACACAGAGAGAAAACAAGCAAGGAAAGAAATGGTAATCGCGTTATTTGATTCGCAGACAACCTCAAGAGCGCAGGAGATAGATTTCGACTGGCTCCTTCAGATAGATATTTCCCCTCACCCGTCAAAAAGATGTTGAGGTAGCAAAAGACCTTTTGTATCTTATTTTTGGTTCTCTAATTGCAACTAAGCTAACCAAAGCAAACTGTATTTGAACAAACAATATGAAATCGCTTTCATTCACACATGTCCGTCCAGAAAGTAAGTTCAGACTGCGCATTTTGACTAAGTCAACTCATGCTTTTGCTGCTTTGGGCTTTGAAGCATTTACAGTTCGAAATTTTGTTTTTGTTGCTTAACACCTTTATGGACAAAGGTTAAAACCATAAATCTTCCGGATAATTTCTGACAGGCACAATACCGGTTAGTTCGTGAGTTCCTTTTTTAAAGGATACTTTCTTTTGTTTTCTTTATAGAGTCCTTCGCATAGACATAAGAATCTTACCATAAGGTGAACAGATACAAGAAAACCCGGTATTAACATCCGTCGCACCAAGTTACAGGAGGTGGATAAGCTCTGTTCGTACTCATGCGTACTTTGTTTTGGTGCGGACCCATCTATCATGGATACAGCAAAAGCAATTATAGAAAAATGAAGTATCCAAACAAACAAGGTTTAATGTCAGCAAAAGATAGGTTGCACTCGTGTGCGCACAGAGGTCGCAGATCTCCGGAAAATGTTAGATGAATGCAGACAAATTGGCGCCTAATAAATTGAGGCAAACAATTGAAATTCGAATTCAAACGAACAGTAGGGAAGACAAAACTATTTTTTTCATTTGCCCATTCCCTGGAGGTATAATCAATCTTTTGGGAATATTCTAAAGCGTTGAGAAGTTCCGTGAGTTGTTATGCATCATGGGGTGAGTTTTGATTACTTACTCCCGATCTGTTTATTTTCACCCCTTGTCCTTAATCTTTCTAATAAACCGGAAAATGCTAATTGATTCCACTAAAACGTAATCTGCACGAAAGAAAGTCGTTTTTGACACGTTAAATTCACCAAAACCTCGTG